GGATTGCTGGTTCAAAGTGTATATGCATTTATAATTTTGATAAATATTGTCTGGGTTGTATCATTTTGCAGTCTCACCAACAATGGGTGAAAGTCCCTGTTTCCCCACAGTCTTGCCAAAAAAGCGAATCGTCAAATGTAGATTTTTGCTCATGCAGTAAATAAAAAGTGGTATTTCAGTATCATCTTCATTTTCATTTCTCTTATTGTGCGAAGTTGAACATCTGCATATGTGTTTAGTTCTTATGTATTTTCTTTTTTGTGATCTGTCATGTTCTTTGCCCATTTTTTGTTGAACTGTTGGTCTTTCTTATCAATATGTGGGAGCTCTTTAAATAATAAGGAGATTAGCCCTTTGTATATGATAAGAACTGCAAATATTTTTTCCCAGTTTGCTGTTTATCTTTTGATTTTGCTTTGATGTTTTTACCATGCAAAATTTTTTCATGTAGACAAATGTATTAATCTTTCATTTTATAGCTTCTGAATTTTGAGTTGCAGTTGGAAAGGTCTTCCTCACTCCGAGACTTATAAAGGATTTTGCCCATATTTTCTTCTAGTATTTTTATGGAGTTTATCCTGACAAATTGTGTGACCCATCACCTTTCGCATGAAGGTCAAGGTCAAGGTTATGGTATGGGTCACCTGGTGTCACCCATGTGGAGAGGAAACAGGAGGAACAAAAGCTGATTTAGGAGATTCTCAGGGGGAGATAATGCATCCTGTTTGGGAGACGTTGAGTTTAAGATGCCTGTGGGACCTCCAGGACAGGGTGTCCAGGAGGCAAATGGATTCAGGGGTCTGGAGCAGAGAAGAAAATTTGGGACTGGAGACATGGAATTGGGAGCCAGCATATGGATGCCAGTTAAAGCCACAAGAGTGTGTGTAGAGTTTGAAGAGGAGAGGTTCTCAGATGGTGCTCTAGGGAGTGATCAAGGTCAGGCCCAAAACACATCACGAGGAGAGAGTTGTGGGGGCTTCATCTCTGTAGCCTTTGGGGCTTGGCACAAAAATAGCCTCAGAGACACTTGTAGGATGAACAGATGCCCTTTACGTGAGACATGCATGGACATCTTTGGCTCCCGGGGACACAGCAAACAGGGCGAGGGAGGAATACCAACAACCTCTCCAGCAGTCAGCCCCAACCCAGCAGGTGTGGAAGAGAGACCCTGTGACAGGGGAGGGGAGAAGGCTCAGTCTTGCAAAGTCTGCCCCCTCCTTCCCCTAGATGATCCAAAGCAGGTCATCAATAGTTGGCAGCAAGTCCCCAAAGGTGGGTGGAACATGGGAAGCCAGTCCTGGCTAGTGTTTTCCTTGGGTCACAGTGTAGTGGTTAAGAAAGAGCATAGACTCTGGACCTCCACTCTCTGGGTTCAAATTCCGGCTCTCTCATTTACTAGTGTGTAACTTTTGGCAAGTTACTTAACATCTCTGTGCCTCAGTTTCCTCCTTTGTAAAATGAGGACAATAATAGTACCAATCTCATAGAATTGATATGAGGATTAAATGAGTAAATATCTATAACCTGCTTACATTGGTGCATGGCACAGAGTAAATGTTATGTAAGTATTAAACTAAAAAGAAATAATTTCATTCATTCATGAATGTTTATTGACCAGCTACTATGTGCCAGGCACTGTTGTAGGTGCTGGGGACACAGCAGTGAAAGATGCAGGTGAAAATCCCTGCCCTCATGGAGCTTAGGTTCTAGCAGGGTGGACAGGAGGGGTGAAGATAGACAATATATAAAATAAATAAGCAAAATAGAAGGTGTGTCAGATCCAAGTGAAGACATGAGAGATGTGCAGGACCGCTAGCCTAGGACCTGGTGCACAGTGGGGCTCAGGAGATGGAAAAGGAAAGGAAGAGCCTGGACAGGCAGCAGAGTGGAATCTCTGGCAGAGACACTGGGGCTGCGGACACCCTGGTGGTAAAAATCATCATCATTTCTGTCATATAATAGCATCAAACACTTATATAGCACTTATTCCGTACCAGGCACTGTTCTATTCACTTTACATATATCATCTCATTTAATCCTTACAGCAACCCTATGAGGTTGGTACTGTTACCGTCCTATTTTTCAAATGAGGGAACTGAGGCATGAAGAGGTTAAGTAACTTGTCTTATAGAATTATATAGTAGTTGAGTGAGCTGGGATTCCAACCCAGGTCATCTGGCTCCAGTGTTAATAGAATGGACCTATAGGTGGAGGGGAAGGGACAGGCTGCCATGCCTCAGGAACAGGTAGGGCCCAACCTTCAGACACACTGAAAAGAAAATACACACCGCCACCCCCCCCCCCAACACCCACACATGCAAAACCCAATATACTTAACACACACTTCAAAGCTGCTCTGAGGGCCTGAGAGGAGTAAAAAAGGACTATGAAATAGAGATAAGGGCTCAGCTCTGGAAAGCTCTATCCCCAGAGCCATTCTCCCTAGATGGCCCCTGCTCCCTGGCCCCTCCACACACCCCTCCATGAGGCTCTCAGCCTCCCTCCTGTGGCCTTAAGCCACCATCGCAAAGCCCTGCGATCCTACCCAGAGACCACAAATAAAATGAATATCATAGTCCTGGGAAATTTAACAAAGGCACCAAGAACTCCAGATCACAGCTGGGAACCAAGAAGGCAAGTCATCAAAATGCTAAGAAACAGAGAGAGGCAGGTGGGACTTGTAGGCCCAGAGAGAGCTGGAACCCACAGTAGTGAAAGCTCACAGAGGGAGGAACTCTCCACAGTTTACAAGACCCTTCCAAATTCTTCTTAACCTCACTTGATATTGTTCAGTTCTTACCCTAGGCAAGACAGAAATTACCAGACCAAGTTGTCAAATGAAGAAATTAAGTCCCACAGAGGAGCAATGAATTATTCAAGATCACCCCCAGGACTAGGAGTCAGATGTCCAAAGCCCTTCCACTGCACCACTCAGAGTATGAGAGAGACAGACAGAGACAGAGAGAAAAAAGGGAGGAGGGCAGGGAGGCAGAGGCTAACATGGAAGATCCAGGAGCAGAGAAATCCTTCCTCATGATCTCCAGGGGACTCCACTGGGCAGGGTTTGGCCTCCTGAACCCTTCACTCTTTATTCCTCCTGTGGGTTGATCAGGGCAGCACATCCTCATTCCTTCATTCCCAACCCAGGCGAGCTGGATTCTAAAGGGAAGAGGAGAAGGATCAAAGTCTTCACATAGAATCAGACAGCACTTGACAGTTTCCAACCTCATATCACTGAACATTAGAGCAGGGAATACCCATCAAGATTATCTCCCCATCCTCCTACTGCCACCTATTGTGTAGATGGGGGATCAAAGCCCAGAGATAAGTGACTTTCCAGAAGTCCACAGCAACTCAGTCACAGGAATCTAGTTTTCCTTACCAGGGCATACTAGAGAGGGGCTTATTCCTTCCTTTGCTTGAATCTTCATATAAGCACCCTGGAAAGAGCCCCGGGGTCCAGAAGACTTGATATCCATTCTGGCTATGCTGAGACTCACTGAGTAGTCTTGGGGACTCTTGCTATAGAATGTAAGCTCCAGGGGCTGGCCCCGTGGCTTAGCGGTTAAGTGCATGCACTCTGCTGCTGGCGGCCTGGGTTTGGATCCCGGGCGCGCACTGACGCACCGCTTCTCCGGCCATGCTGAGGCCGCGTCCCACATACAGCAACTAGAAGGATGTGCAACTATGACATACAACTATCTCCTGGAGCTTTGGGGGGAAAACAAATAAATAAATAAAAATTAAAAAAAAAAAAAAAAAGAATGTAAGCTCCACAAGGGCAAGGCATTTTTGCCTCTTAGCCCTTGATGTATCTCCGGCCCCTAGAACAGTGTCTGGCCCATAGTAAATGCCCAATAAACATCCACTGAATGAATGAACCTCTAGAGGGCCAGGGTTAGGGGAGTGTCACCGTGAGAGCCTGAAGCCTGAAACAGAAGACTAGGGAACTATGAGCTTTATCTTCAGATGCATGAAAGGCTAAAATTCTGTCCACAAATATTTATTGAGGGCCCATTATGTGCTGGGTACTGAACTAGGTGCTGGCGATTCAGGTAAGAACAAGACAGTCATGCCCTGACCTCAAGAGCTCACAGTCCGCTATAATGTGGAATGTGGGCAGAATGTTTTGTGGACTCCAGAGGGTAGACCTAGGTGCAAGGTGGGGGCGGGCGGGGGTGGGAGGGAGGTGTAAGTGGCAGACTGCTCAATATAATACATTTTTCTTAGCCTGAGCTGCCCTGAAATGGTCTCGCTGCTCAGAAGGTGATGAGTGCAGCAGGACTGCAATGTTCAAGCAGGGCGCCAGCCGCCCACCTGTGGGAAGCTGTGCCAGGAGTATGCGGAAAAAGAGATTTCTGCCTTGGGTGAGGTCACTTCCCACCCCCTGATTCTCTGCCTACAAAACCCTGCAATTCTCTGACGCTGGATCTTATTATTTTCTGAATTTCAAGGTCCCATAATGCTGACAGCCCCAAATTCTAAGTCGTCTGCCCACGGCCCTGGGCCCCAAAGAAATAAAGCTGAATTCAGCAAGGGTCCTACCACCCACTGCCTCAACAGGTCTCTGGGGATAGCGCCCCCTCCCCGCCTCGGTGGGCTGGAAGGGCGTAGCTCGGGCTCCGGAGTGCCGCGGACGTCGTGGGGAGAAGGATGTTTCAGATACAGAGTTGACAGAGCCAAGACACGTGACAGTCAAAGGCTCACGTTCTGTGGTCCGAGAGGCTGGGACCCGGTCGGTCACGTGACGCAGGGGGGCACTGTGGGGTGATGTGAAATGCAGGGCCTCTCACATTACGTACAAATGACGCATTCCCACCCCTTTTGGCAAGCAGATTTCCGTTGAAAGATGCGACAGTTCCGGTGGAGGGGGAGGGTTCTCACATCCTGGCAGTTTTGCTTCCGTTCGGGGCGCTCCAGTTTCCGACCTCTGCCTCTCCCTCGGGCGGGGAAGAGACGCGACCCCGTGCGCATGCCCTGAATCATCCCAGGGGGGCGGGGCCGAGGCCACCGGGGCGGGAGGGGGGAAAGAAAAGGGAATTCCAACCTGTGGAAACTTGGGGGTCCCCGAGGTCGCCTCCTTCCCATTGACTGTGGATGGTGCCAGGGACAGAGCCTCTGGAGGCTCGTGGGAGGTTTTGGGGTCCGCGGGGTGAGGGCGGAGGGGAGTGTCAGAGTGCCAGTGGGGTACCGGAGTTCCAAACTTAGAATCTTGAGGCCCTCGGGGCTCCGGCGCCGGGGAAAGAGAGCTCCGGCCGCCATGCGGGACAGGACCCACGAGCTGAGGCAGGTGAGAAGTCGGGGCAGCAGGGTTGGGGACGGGCGGACGGGGTGGGATCTGGCTGAAATGCAGGACTCCTGGTCTTTGGGGCAGGGAGGGGTGGCTGAGGGCTAGGAAGGAAAGACCCGGAAGCCCGTGAGTTCTGCGGGAAGAGACTACAGCAAGGAAGTGATGCCAGTGACCCTGGCCCTGGCAGGGGGATGACAGCTCGGACGATGAGAACAAGGAGCGGGTCGCGCTGGTGGTACACCCGGGCACGGCGCGGTTGGGGAGCCCGGACGATGAGTTCTTCCAGAAGGTAAGAGCCTGGAGTCCCGGCCTGGATTCACGAGGGAACTGGAAGACCTGAGGAGCAGCGCGGTCTGGAGTACCCCTATATCTCCTTCAGGCCTCTCGGTCACCCTCCCCAGGTCCGGACAATTCAGCAGGCTATTGTCAAGCTGGAGAATAAAGTCCGAGTGTTGGAGAAGCAGCAGGTCACCATCCTGGCCACGCCCCTTCCCGAGGAGGGTGAGTGAAACCCCGGGTGCAGAACGCATGCTCAGCCAGAGGGATTGTGGGGATTGCAGTTCCAGGCAGGTGGTGGCCAGGAAGATTTGTTGAGGTATAGGATGCTGTTTGGGAGTCATGGCTTTCTTTTGTTCAGGTATGAAGCAGGACTTGCAGAACCTGCGCGACGAGATCAAACAGCTGGGGAGGGAGATCCGCGCGGAGCTGAAGGGTGAGCTCCTAGGACCTCAGACAGATCCTTCCCTCTGTTCCTGCCCAGCTCCTGGCTTATGGGGAGTGTGTGGCCCAGAGAAGCCAGAGATATATCCAGGTCACACAGCAGGCCTCGATCTAGAATCTCTGTCTCCTGGCTTCCAGTCTACAGTACTTTCTCTTTTTTTTTTTTTTTTTTGAGGAAGATTGGCCCTGAGCCAACATCTGTTGCCAATCTTCCCCCATTTTTTTTCTTTTTTCTCCCGAAAGCCCCCAGTACATAGTTGTATATCCTAGTTGTAAGTCGTTCTAGTTCTTCTATGTGGGATGCCACCTCAGCATGGCTTGATGAGCCGTGAGTAGTTCCACGCCCAGGATCTGAACTGGTGAAGCCCAGGCCGCCAAAGCAGAATGCACGAACCCAACCGCTGTGCCACTGGGCCGCCCCTCTATAGTACTTTCCATGGCACATGCCTGCCTCTTGAGGCTTTATTTGTAATGAAACCATTTACTCCTACAATTTTTGCTGCCCAGTGTGCATTCCTTGGGCAGGCAGATGGGGGTTTTGTTAGGAAGCCTCTGCGTACCTGTGAGAATTCTCTGATGTATTGCAAAGAAAAATATAACTTTTCTCTTGTCAAAAGTTCAGAATTAGTCATTTTATGATAAATTATATCCCCACCCCCAATCCTATGGAGATAAACACCTCTCTTTTGTATGGCTGGGGTATGGCCCTGGCCTTGTGTCCTGGTCCCTAAATGATTTTCAGAAGCCACAGGTGAAACCCCTCCCCCAGCAATACCCTTGTGTCTTCCCACAGCCATAGAGCCCCAGAAGGAAGAAGGTGATGAGAATTACACCTCGGTCAACACGAGAATGAGAAAAACCCAGGTGGGTTTGTTATTCCCAGAACTAGGTCATTTCAGTGTTTTATAGATCATTAGATGGCAGAAGTAAGAACGAAGGGCCCTTCCTTCTTATTATCAAGTCCAACCTGATGATTTTCCAGATGGGGAAACTGAGGCTTAGAGAGAGAAAGGACTTACCCAAGTCCAAAACCCAGGTCTCCTCACTCCTAATCCATTCTAACACCCTGCCTTCTCCTCCATTCAATGAGAAGTTGTTGAGTCTCCAGACATGACCTGGGCTTGGCTGTGGGGAGACATGCTTTCTAGGAGCCAAGATGGGGAGTTAAACTTGAATAGGTGACAAAGACATTACTCAGGTAGCACTTGGTAGCTAATGGCTCTGCTCAGGGAAGAAGAGGGAGCAGTCATAAATGACTGGGAGGTTTCCTGCCCATGTGACAGGGACATCCTCTGCCCCATGGGCAGAAGTCAAGAAGTCCAGAAGAGGAACTTCCCTGGGGGAGGGAAGGTCACTGAATCACATCTTAGTAAGGAGATTTGAGGTGATGTGACCAGCCCCCTCTGGATGCCCAGTGAGGAGTGGTTTGGAGTTTATGGAGGTCAGAGTTGGAGTAGGTGGGCCCAGAGTTCAGCACAAGATTGAATATGGAGCAGTTTGGGCATCTTGAAAGGAGACAGCTGAAGCCAGGATAGCAGATGTGTCTCTGAGGAAGGTAGTCCAAGGAATGAGCACATTTAAGGCAATAGGGGAATGGACAAGGCGAGAAGCCGTTTCAGGGGGAGCCTGTGATGGTCGTCAGTGTGAGAGGCTGACGGCCCAGGTGGACCTGTAATCTGGGCGGCAGGCTGACCTCCAGGCCCACTAGCACACCTCCCATCTAAGCAATAAAACGGGTGTTCCGCCAGCATTCAACAGATTTATTGAGTGAGACAATCACCAAAATAAATAAGTAAATTATTTTAGAACAGAGTAAGTATTCAGGAAAAAAGAGCAGGAGAAGAGGGATTGAGAGCGCTGGGAGAAGGCAGGTTGCAATTTCAATAAGGTGAAGAAAACTTCATTTAGAAGATGACATTGGAACAAAGACTCAAAGGCCTTTGTGGGGCCCGAGCATTCTAGGCCGAAGGAACAGTGAGTGCAAAGGCCTGAAGTGGGGGTGTGCTTTGTTCAGGGAGGAGTAAGGAGCCCACTGTGGTGGAGGGAGGGAGGGAGGCAAGAATGGGAGGAGGTAAGGCCAGAGGGGAAATGGGGGGAGGGGCAGGTCATGGAGGGCCTTGTAGGCCCTGGGAAGGGCTTTGGGTTTTACTCTGAGAGAAATGCGGGAGCCTTTCAAGGTTATCATAAGGTGGTTAAGGCGGCAGCCTCCTATAACGGCTCATGCTGTTTGCTCACTGTAGCCGTGGGGATGCTGAGGCCCAAACCAGGCAGGGATCCTCCCAGGGGTACCTAGCCTGTGTTCTCCATCCTTAGCATGGGATCCTGTCCCAGCAATTCGTGGAGCTCATCAACAAGTGCAACTCGATGCAGTCCGAGTACCGGGAGAAGAATGTGGAGCGGATTCGGAGGCAGCTGAAGATCAGTGAGTTGTGGTGCCCGGCCCACAGGGTCAGGTGACCTGACCCCCGCTCTGAGCCTGGCCTTTTCCTTCACAGCAAATGCTGGAATGGTGTCTGATGAGGAGCTGGAGCACATGCTGGACAGTGGGCAGAGTGAGGTGTTTGTGTCGAATGTGAGTGCCCACAGCCAGCTTCCCTCTCCCAGGCCTCCCATCCTCTCTGATCCCTGGCCCTTTTTTTTTTTTTTTTTTTTTTTTTTTAAAAATTTTATTTTTTCATTTTTTTTCCCCCCAAAGCCCCAGTAGATAGTTGTATGTCATAGGTTCACATCCTTCTAGTTGCTGTACGTGGGTCTCGGCCTCACGTTGGACGGAGAAGTGGTGCCTTGGGGCGTGCCCGGGATCCGAACCCGGGCCGCCAGCATCAGAGCGCACGCACTTAACCGCTAAGCCACGGAGCCGGCCCTCCCTGGCCCTTTTTGATTGAGGGAATACTAAGGCCCAGGAGGGAACAAATTAGCATGCTTAGAGTTACTCTTCAGGGCCCTGGCCCCAGTTCTAGGCCTGAGGACTGCCCCAGAGCTCAGCAGGTACTTCTTACCTGCTGCTGGTTTCCCGATGACCTGTCCCTCCACTCCTGTCCACTCCCCAGATACTGAAGGACACACAGGTGACTCGACAGGCCCTAAATGAGATCTCGGCCCGGCACAGTGAGATCCAGCAGCTTGAACGCAGTATCCGTGAACTTCATGAGCTCTTCACTCTTGTGGCTGCTGAGGTGGAGACGCAGGTGGGTGCCCTAGGCAGCCGGGTGGGCGTGACCCAGCCCCCAGATGGCAGACCAGGTTCAGTCAGAACCCCAGCCGTGACTGTCAGCCCACCTCCACCCTTAGCCTCTCTCCTGAGGCTTTGGTTCCCTCCAGGCTGGGCCATGCCCCCAGACTGGCCCTTACTTCCACCCTTAGCCATGCCCCAGAATTGTGTCTGCCTCCACAGCTACCCAAATGACCACTCCTCTATATGTTGCATCCAGCCCTAAATTGAGCCCACCCCAGGAATGGCCCCAACCTAGGCTCCTCCTCCACCAATAGAATATGCCTTTATACTGCTAAGTGCTCCAGTCAGAGTTGCCCCCAGAAGGCCTGCCTCCTAAAACCTGTGCCAGGTTGGAGTGGGAGGTGGTCTTCTTTCCCTGGCCCTGCTTGTACTGGGTGAGGGGAGCTTCCAGCCTGGTCCCATAGGAGCTGACCCCACTAGTGCTGCAGCCAATGCCCTTTTGCAGCTGGGAGTCATGGGGAAGGGATTTCATTCAGTAGAACCAGGACCTGAAGGCTGGTGGTGCCATGAGGAGGCAGGGATAGGGAGGGCTTCACAGCAGCTGGGAGACAGGCCTAGAAGAATGGGTGAATTCAGACATATTTGTGAAAAGGTATGGGCCATTTAAAGCACTGGGCTTCAAGCCACCACTGCAAATAGAGGTTGTCTGAGGCAAGGGAGCAGGGCAGAAGGGACCATGTGATGGAAGGGGGCCTGGAAGCCACCCTCAGGAGTGTGAACTTTTGTCAGATGTGGTCCTGCCTCCATGTCTATGTTAGTGCAGTGTTTCTGCCAGGAGTGTCCTTCAGTCATTTGGGGCTGGGGTGGGCAGACAAAGGGGCTGCTGAGCCCTCCACTCCTAGTCATCCCTACCAGCCTCAACTGCCCACTCGTTCGAGTAGGGGGAGATGATCAACCGGATTGAGAAGAACATCCTGAGTTCAATGGACTATGTGGAACATGGGCGGGAAGATGTCAAGATAGCCCTGGACAACAAGGAGAAGGCGCGGAAGGTGAGCCTCCCCTCCTTCCGTCCCCAGCCCTGGGTGGCCCTCCCTCCCCTCCTGAGTGAGTTTCCCTGACACCCTCCTTTCCCACAGAAGAAAGTCTTGATTGGCATCTGTGTGTCCATCACTGTCCTCATTCTGTTGGTCATCATTGTCATCGCTGCATTGGTTTGATAGCGTCGCGCATTCTTGGTGAGATATTATGGGCCTGCCCCCTGGCCTGCCCCATCCCTGGCCCCAGCCTTTCCTCCTCCCCTTAGACCCTCTTCTCCCTCCTTCCCTTGCAGGCACTAAGAGCACCAGGGATCCAGGGTCTGCCTTCTGTCTCAGCAGCTGGGGGGGTGCAGGACAGAGCCTCCAGCTGGACCCCCTTCCTCACACTGGCCCTGTGCATAGAGGCAGTTTTTCTGGGGTTGGCAGCCACTCATTCAAGGGGGCCTGCATCCTCAGGCCACAATGCCTGAGGGAGGGCCTGCAGTGTCCTGTTTGGCTGGGACACATGGTTTTGTAAGAAATTAAAAAAACGCTTGGAGACTCCCCTGTGCATGTGTGTTCCTGGAAGGGCTGGCCCGGGGCCTCCAGGTATCCAGTCTCTCCACCTCCTGGCCATCCTTGGGGCCAGGCTTAGCCCAGGAAGGCTCAGATCAGACTGTTCTAGGCGCTGTGACCACAGCAGGCTGGCACTGCCCTTCCACTCTCCTACAGGAATGAATAGGAACAAGAGGGGGTAACACCCACATCTGGCTCAGTACTGTCCCTGGGGAAAGACCACTGTGAGTACCTAACTCGGAAGCAGTGAGGCTGGGCCAGGCCAGGCTGGAACACAGGTGAGACGTGTGTGTGGCATCGGTGGACATTCCTGAGGCCAAAAGGAAGAGGCACCGTGAAAAAGTAGTGGAGTAAATGAGGTTGTTACTTTGGATACAGTGGATAGGGGACAGCCTGTCTCAGAGGTGGTGACATTTGAGTGGAATGTTAAATGAGGAGGAGCCAGTTATGGGAAGAAGCAGGGGAAGAGGTTGCCAGGCAGAAGGATCAGCAGGCCAGGCCCTGGGCCCAGAAAAAGGCATTGCCTTTTATATAAGAGTTCAGCTTAGAGAGCCAGCAACTCTGGATCAGCACACTTAGTTTCTAAGGGGTTATCTGGCTGAAGAAGGTAGAGGTAGAGGAGACTGACCTGTTTTCTGTGAGGCACCTGTGCTCCAGGCCCTAACTCTAAATTTCTAAGAGTTCCAAGTCCCATGCCTACTTTCTGGAGCTGGATGTGGCGGCTGTCCCCAGACACGTGGTTTCAGGGGTAAGCCCGCTCCCGGTTCCAAAGCTTGGTTGGAGTGGGGCGGCGCCTGACCCAAAGCAGGTCTGGCGGCCGGGTTCCAGCTGGCCGGTCCCATCCCACTTTCGATCCCACAGGCCCCTGCTGCTGTCGCCGCTGCTGCTCCTAGCTCCAGCCCATCTGGACGCAGTACCTCTTGCTTGGGCCGCCGAGTGTGGGGCACACACGTGGGTGCCGGAGTGATGCGAGTCCTGGAAGGGCTGGACATGATGTCGTTGGTGTAGTCTCGACCCCGCCCCTGGACCTGGGCTTGGGGAGGGGCCAGAGGGCGGGATTGGGCCCCAGTGACACGCGACCCCTGCCTGGTCTGTCTCCATCCACGGCTGGCCGCCCGCCTGCAACGCCTCCCTGTGGCCCTGGAGTGGTCGTTGTACTGCGCCTGCGCCAAGTCTGAGTTTATGGGGCGTGGCTGAGGTGAGGGGAATGAGCACCCCAGTATTAAACAGCAATTAGACGTGCGACGCTGGTATGGGCGGGGCCTCAGAGCGATTCGCCAGTCGCACCCAAAAGTGATTGGATCACAGAGCGCAAGGGGCATGATCAAACCTCCAAAGGAGGCGGAAGGCCATGCTCTTGTGAGAGACTGGCAGGAGTAGTGAGTCAGGGACTGTACTTGAGAAGACGTGGCTGGGTCCCCGGGTCCGGCTCCCAGCCGCTGAACTTGCAAGTCTGGGAGGGTACCCACGCCTTCGTCCTGCCTGAGATCATGTGTCCTGTGTACAGATGAAGCCCTAAATGCCTACAGGAAAGAGCTCCTCATTCTTAGCAGTGTGCAAACACAATCTGGATGTCCACCCGATGGGAAAACTGTGGGGCCGGACAGGTCCTGCCCTGATAGAAGACTGATTTGGACACGAGGACTCTGGGTTTCTCTGATTCTCCATCTCTTGCCCTGTGGCCTGCATCTTCAGCGGAATCCTGTCCTGTTGGTCGCCTTTGCCCTCTCCCTCACCTTACTGCCCTCAGAGTAAATAACTGCACGACCCGTGGCACCTACTGGGATCTGATAGAGACGATCAGACCTATGCAGAGACTATGCCACATTTATGTAATTGGGTGTCCATGTGCTGCCTATGACTTCTGCTTGGCCATACTGGACAGCGCCACCCCTAAATGGCTGCTTATCTGTCTCACTCAGGAAGCTGTCCATAACCTCCTAGAAGAGGCGGCTAGATGGCCAAGTGAGGCCTCGAATTCCAAGCTCAGTAGTTTGAACTTTTCCTTGGCTAGGGGACCCATGAAAGGTTTTTGAACAGGTGAGTGGCAAGTTTGGAGCAGACGTAGCAGACAAATGGACCCATGCACTGGAGATTTCTCTCTTGTGTATACCCCTTCCATGTGGGAAACAAGACTGAGTGAGGAGCTAAGGGCAGGTTTTACGCTGAAATCCTGGCTTGGCTGCTGTCAGCCCAACTTTCAGGGAACAGGGTCTTGGTTAGTTGTGGTTTTTCCAAATCCATCTTGCATCACAACCTTTTAGCTGCAGCTCTATCTCCACTTATTGCCTCATTCACTCAATATTTCATGGTTCAAATTCCCAAGAAAAGGAACCAGATTGGTCTAGGTCAGGCTACATTGACCTGCCTATGAGTTGTCTCCCTTGAGTCAAGACTTTACCCTTGACCAAGATGAGGCGTTACATGGTACAAAACGCTGCAGCAGAGTGTGTATGAAGGAAGAGTGGACAAGCTCAATGATTGACATTTCTGGTAAACCCTGTGGTAAATTGTATTATTGTTCCAAATATATAACGTCCTTCCTACAGAGCCCCTCACTATAGGCAGATTATACATTCATGCCCCCCTTACAAAAGGGTTGGCTATATGACTTGCTTTGACCAATGGAATGTGAGTAGAAATGTAAAGTACCACTTCCAAGTAGAAGCTTTAAGCACCAATGGTCTTAAAAGAGAAGGGAAGTCTGGCAGCTTCTCTTCTCTTTTCCCTCTGCCATGAGTCTGGCAATTTCTAGATCAAGACTTCTTCAGCCTGGAACCCAGAATTAAGATGACGTGAGGCTGACCTCTAGTCCACCTGTGAAATGATGTGTGATGTCAGTGAGAAATAGACTTCTCTTGCTGTGAGCCACTGATGTGTGGAGTTTAGTTGGTACCACATCATAATAAGTCTAAACCAACTGTTACAGAACTCGTATCCAGAAGCGGGGTGCTGCTACAGGAAAAAATAAACCTGAATTATGTGGCTTTGGAGCTGCACAGTGGCTGGTGAGGAAGCTATCATCGGAAGTTGGAAAGATGGTGATGTGTGTTATGCAGTGGTGAAGCATTTGGTTAAACTCTAAGCTGGAAATAACTAAGAATATAAATGTCCAAATGAGCTTGGGGCTTTAGGCAAAAAAATTGGGAAAGAGAGTATTGGTGGCATGCCTTGATTGCTGTTGGGTGCATTTGACAAGTTACTATAAGAAAGAGATGACTCAGAAACTAATTGGCCAGTTTTTAAGCAGAAATGGAAGAGAATACAGAAACTCCAGGCAAGTGATCTACATTTTTAACCAGTGAAATATACAACTTCTCCCAAAGGAGTTAGTAGACTCCATTTGCCTACAATTAAGTCCAAAGAGAGAGGCATGTCTGAAAAGAATTGTGGGTTTGGCTGTTGGCCCATGGAACTGACTCGAATCAAATAGAGAAGAAGCCCCCCCCTCCCCGCCCCACCCAACAAAAGGCATTACCTTGCATTTTTAAAAGACCGTGAGTGTTCAAGACTTAATATGACCTTGAGGGATCTCAAATTTCTATGGGCATGAAGGAGACCGAGAAAGCTGCTCTACTTCAGAAAGTCATAACCTCCAATGTCTTCTTAAATGCGGCCAAGGAGAATAAATGGAAAAGGATACGCCACTCTAAGGGCAGAGCCAGTGACATGGGGAAGAACCAACTAGGGAACTAGTCCCAGGAAGCAGTCCCACTCCCAGGGAAAGCTGGGAGACCTTCTCAATATCTCCCTAGCAGGATTGTAGAATTACTATGGACCAGTAACTTCTGTGTGCCTCCCATTCTTCCTTCTGAATGGGAGTGTTTACTGCCATTATCCTGCCCCTGTTCCACTTCATATGCTGAATGTGGTGGCGGCGGTGGTGGGGGGGGGCAGAGATAAATTGTGTTATATTTTTTTTGTTTGTTTGTTTCATAGATGTCTGGATCAAGAGAAGCCACATATGCACCTGATAGAGAGGCTATTAGAGATCTTGGACTTGAGCCTGATGCCATGATTAGATGGGTCATTTGGGTGGTCTTCCTTGAGAAGAGGATGCATTTATTTTGCACATGGAAGAAACACAAAGGCAGTATTTGTGACAAAGAGGACAGACTGGAGAAGATTTTACAGTTGTTCAAAGACATTCATTGGTCCTCCCTACGGGGTCCCGCCATATGAAAAGATTATAAATCCCCACTCCACTGACATCAGCTTTTGGCCTATGGCTTGCTTTAGGCAATGGTATTTGGGTAGGAGTAATATATATCACTCCCAAGAAGAAGCTTTAAGAGCCATTGTGGGATCTGCCAACTTTCCTGTCTTCTCTCTATGTCTTGAGATTGAAAGTTCCAGATTGAGGCTGTTCCTTCACATTGGATTCTGGAATGAAGATGACGTAGAACAGAGCCTCAGCTGTCCCACGGAGGACATGGAATTGCATGAGAAAAACACATTTGTTGTTGTGAGCCACTGAGATTTGGGGGTTTTTGTCACTGCAGCATAACTTGATCCTAGCTTACTGATAAAGGCTCCCTCCATATTGCAGAGGCTCTCTATTCAGTTCTCCTTTCCTATCACCATGATAGTTGGTATGCCAAAATGAGTTGTCATGATGCTGTGAGGTCTGAGTCTTTGTCCCCTGTTCTGAGATGTTTACTCTCAGGTCCTATCCAGTGAGCTTTCTTGATTCTTGCTGGTTCTTGGCAACTAGTGGTAGCTGCTCATGTGAACTAGAAAAACATCTGGGGGCATGGGGCCCCAGACCTTCTAGCATCAACTTGGTGCCTAGTAAATTTCAATCTCACATACATCGTAAGACCACAATGGCACCATTACAAAGGAACTGTCCAAAAGGAAAAGAGAGAGAGAAAGTAAAACCCAAACTCACCTTAACTGCATGGATATCCACCCTTCAGAGCAGCCCCAACATAATGGATAGTAAGTACAAATTCTGTATCAGGTTGTGTATGGGTACAGCTGCATGAAACAGAGATCCAAACTAACCATGGCTTAAACCAGGTAGAAGTTTATTTCTCTCTTATATAAAAATACAAATTAGTATGGTGGGTCTTTGCATGAAGTCATCAGGACCCATGAATTATAAAAAAAAGTCATTATTTTATCTTGTTGCTGTTCCATCCCTGGGTTATAGCCCTCACCCACGTGGTCCAAGATGGTCCACCACCACTTCCACAGTCTAGCCCTTGGGAAGTAAAAAAGTGAAGGAGGGGATGTCTTTCCCTTTATCCTAAATTGCTGAAATTGTACAAATAATTATTTCTCTAATTCTAGGGGCCAGAATGTAGTCACATGGCCACATCTAGCTGAAAA